CCCTCTCTCTCCCCCTCTCTCTCTCCCTCTCTTTCTCTCTCTCTCTCCCTCTCTCTCTTTCCCTCTCTCTCTCCCTCTCTCTCCCCCTCTCTCTCTCCCTCTCTTTCTCTCTCTCTCTCCCTCTCTCTCTTTCCCTCTCTCTCTCCCTCTCTCTCCCCCTCTCTCTCTCCCTCTCTTTCTCTCTCTCTCTCTTCTCAGTTGCACATATCTGCGATGTATATTATCTATTATGTTGTTTGGTATGTTTGGCAACCAGGGTGCAACTAGTAGATCAGAAACTGTACCGATCAAACTGGTTCGAATCCCAGACTGGGCGTTCTTCTTGAATTCGGATCGTTTTGTGGAGTGTTAAAGGACTCAATCCACTTGGCTTAGTTTTGTTTGTGTTAGTAGAGATTTTACGGCGCTCACAATGCATTAGGTCATATTAGAGCCAGAAGATTAGAGGTGGGGTAACAAACATAAAAAGAAGAAGGGGAGATAAGGACGATAGATGTTTGATAGAAAAGAAGAAGCAATCCACAACAGAGCACAAACCAACCATCCACCACTTGGCTTAGTCCTATCGGGAACGGACGTGAATATCAGATGTCCCGCTTGTTAGGTGGCCTACTTGTGTAGAAAGAGGCCTTAAATTCATACACGTACTACTAGACGGGATGCTGATTGTGCCAAAGACAATACCCTACATGTACGTGTCTGAGACAGACAGACAAGACACGTAGAGACAGACACGTACACAGACAAGACACGTAGAGATAGCATCGCTTTCGGGAGTCTCCAGTTCTCAAACAAAAACGTCCAAACTTTTCCAGAAGAAAGAGACGACCACTGGATTAATTTTAATTGGAAGTGAAGACAAAAGGTAATAAGGCACTACGTTTCAATCAATTCTGTGATAAAATGCTGGCAGGAAAATCGAAGTTTGCATGATAATGTGCAGTTCAAGCGTCTCAGATCAGGAGAAAATCGATCAGGGCTTTGAGACAAAGTTATCAATTTCTGCCCCACTCTTGTCTCCCTTTCCTGTTTTTGTCAACTCAAGACAGCGGAGTAGAGATGTAGAGATATCAGACAACACAAAGACAACATCCTAGATGTATCAAAAATTATTTTAAAAACAACAAAAAAGCAGCTTCGTAGAGATATCAGAGAACATTAAAAAAGCAAAGACAACATCGTAGAGACATTCAGACAACTTAAAAACACAAAGACAGCACGACGTAGAGATATCAAACAGCACAAAGTAGACACAAAGACGTGAATGAAGACACGCTACTTGAAAACACGCGGCATAAATAGACCACCCC